AAGTGGCACTGAGAAAGAGAGGAGGAAATGTAAGAAAGTATAAGATGGGATCCTCTGACACCATGGTGGAAATTAGCACATTTCCCAGAAGACCAAGATAAAAATGCATGTGAGAAGAACAAGGGAACCAAACAGATGGGGCAATAAAATGGAGGCGGAATGAGCTCATCAGGATTTCCAGCACACGGCTGAAGTCCATACTGGGCTCTCAGCTGACCTGGGAGCCAGGAGACATAGTGAATGAGTGGGTGGTTACTATGCTGCAGCATCAGTTACGCTAAGAGATTAGGTGGAGCTGATTCACTGCAGCAGATCTGCACGACTTTTCAAGTGGAGGAAAATCTGTGGGCCCTGGTCTCTGCCACTCACATAACCATCCTTATGGATAGCATGAGTCAGATATGTAGGATCCTTCAGGTAGACAATGTGGTTGTGCTGTGAGTAAACCAAGGACAAGCTTTCATGTCGTCGAGACCAGGTTTCAACCACAGCTACAGCATATCTTTGTGTGAAGGTTTACCTGCTGTATACACAAATACCCCACCTTCCCAAACTCATCATTGGCTACAGGTAGTTCATAACACAAACAGAAAGGTCAAGGCTCTGGAATGTTCATCACACTGAACAGTGATTCTTTTTCAAACTATCAGCTCTTGAGCATAGCCAGAAGGGTCTCTGGAGAATCTAGTCTAACCCCCTTATGTTACACACAGGAAACTGAGGTCCAGGAAAGAGAAATGACTCGCCCCAAACCACTTAGCTAGTGACAGAGTTGGCATTACGACTCGGTCCCTCTCTTTCTAAGCCAGCAGACTTTCCCACTGCACCAGGAAAACAAAATCAAACCCTAAATAGCCTATAATACCCTTGTGAGCTAAGTCCTCTAATTACACTGCCTCCAAAGGAAATAACATCTTAAATGCCTCCGTCCCTCCATCTTTGGCAATTTCACCGACCATTTCTCATATTGCAATCTCTTTTGAGAAATTTAAGAGTAATTATTTGGGGATATATGCTTTGTTATTTTTATGTCTCCTTATACACTGCTTTCTTTGTTCAGGAGAAAATTAGAATTCTGGAAATACACTTGATTTTATTTAATTATTAAAGGAACAAGCATCTATTTCAAGTAGTTGCAAATATAAATGTATCAGCCTGTGTCTAGAATGGATATATGGAACAATATAGGCTATGTTACTCTATTTTCACATTCAATTAAGATCCACCTAGGTCTCAGTAAAAAAAAGCAAAAACAAAAACAAAACAAAACAAAAACCATTAGACCTATGAGTGAAAGTTGAAAAGTGAAATCCTTATCTGGGTAATTCTGGACATGTTTGGATTTGGTGCCTTATGGAATCATCTAAAATGATATTTTATAACATGCTTTGCAACCTTACTGCCTTCATCATTGCAATTTGTGTATATAGGGGCTCACTGGAACTTTTGGAGTTTTCAAGGAGCTGAAGTAAGGATGTAGGAGGAATGAGCCTGTTCAAGGTCATATTTACTTTGTGAAGCGGACACACCTCCTGGTGATGCGGACCAACAGTGGCATTAGCCCATTACCCACTTCCCTCCATCCCCACCCCGTATCTTTCCTACCAACGAATATTCTTACCTGAACCACTTCCACTGTCCTCTGCTTTAGGTGTCGTATAGACCAGATTTTCTGTCTCTTGATGTTTCTCCATGAAGAGATTTTCACGAATAGAACTTTTCTTGTAATTTAGTTATATTGTCCTTGAAAACCCCACAAGTATTTACATAACAGAAGCTATTGTTTTAAGTGCAAAGCAGGTCAAAATTTGGTTTCTGGCGATTAATCACTGCAGTCTATTTTATATTATCATAATAATTTCATTTATTTTGATACAATTTGTTTTCAGAGTCAACCTCAGCTTCTGTGCACAAGCGACAAATCCATTTGTTTCTCGTATAATGGATAATGTGATTAATGACCTTGCCACAGGATTTCTTAAAAACACAGAGAAAAAATAAAGTTTCCATTTATTATGTGCAGTAACCAGCTCGGTCTGTAGCTGTGCATCAAAATCTCTCTGAACTTGTTGGCAAGCCACAGCCAAGATTCTGAAACAAATTTGCTCCCGCCTTTTGGGGTTTCTGTCCATATCTGGGCTCTCCAAGAATGTGAGGACAGCGGCCTCACACTGGGAAACTGGACCTGTGGGCAGCGGCTTACGAGTGTGGGGCCCGGCTTTACTACGCGGTACCATCGCGATGGCTGCACTCCGATGGACCCACGGAGCCCAGGTCTTGCTGAGTAAGGCCACCACCTGCTGGGCTGTCGCCGGCCCCAGCACGGGAGAGCTCTGCGGGTGGCCTCGTGACGCCGGCCCCCGCGCCGTGGCCCCGGCGGAGGCGATGTGCGGGCGCCCCCTCCGCGCAGTCGGCGTCTGGCGCGCGTTTCCGGTCCCCGAGGACCTGAGAAGTCTTCCCACGGCGGCGGGTGGCGGCGGGGGCCGGGGAGGTGCACGTGCACGCGGCGGGCGGCCCGGGGGCGGCCGTCGTGCGTCTCCTTCCCGCTTTCAGGGCGAGGCGGCCGCGGCCCGGACGAGGAGGCCCGCGCG